ATTGGACTCTTTAGTTTTGAAATTTTAGACTTAGGCCTTGGTAGCACATATTGTCTAGTAGACTGTGCTGACTTTTCGATGCACGTAGGTATAGTGTCTTGTATGTCCACCAGTCTTAACGTTGGCATACCGCACGTAGAGATAGAGGGGCTGCGACAGGGAGAATCTGGTGACGATAGGGACATTTGTGTACAATACACATATTTTTCAGTAGTTAAAGGTTCGACATTGTCAAGCACTGAGTCGTCAGTTGTAGGGGTTACAGATTTGGACCTTTTATTTGGCTTAGAAGTTGGTGAAAATCGTCTTTTAATGGAGTTATTGGACATGATATGAAAATAAGTGAGCACAGTGCTCGTTAAATTAAATATAATATCTGAGTATTAGTTGTTATTAAGTATTAAACTGGTTAATACTAGGATTAGAGACTATGAGTATATAATAAATTGCAGATCTATTAATGATTTAAGTCCACAATAGGTACAATACGAACTAGTAATTGTCTGTCGAATAAAAATAAGTTTTTTCCTTATTTTTCACAGTAAGATGTACCCGATGTACAGGATAAGATGATAATCACAGTATAATACACCCTACAAAAGAGCAAGTCGAAGAATTCCTAAACCACGTGAAAAAATGTTACCACTTTCAAAGTTTGCGGTCGATACTGAGATATTGAGTTGATGATTAAAATCAGTTCATTGATTTGTTATGATAATAATTATAGAATAACTTTTATGAATGATGATTACTGATTAACCCATAGTTTGAAGGTAAACAAGTAGATGATTACCAAATCATTTCACAAATTATTCACTGAATTATTCAAAGAAACAGAAAAGTGTTAATTTTTATGATCCTTGAAAGGAAATCATGTTCTTTTTCTTGGTTTCAATTATGAAAGAATGTGACTCTCCTAAAACTGTATCCAATACAATCACATGATCGTAAAAACAAAACAATTACGAAAGCATTTATCAGAACGTTTAGTGGAGTTTGGGTAAAACTATATCATACCTATAACGATACATAGTGTATCGAAATTTACAACCAACAGCATACTATAGTATTTGATCAAAATTATCATTTTCATAGTCTAAGTAAATGATTGGGATTATTGACGGATAATCGTATACAGTCAGCTTACTATGAAACTTGAAGTCTCATAAAAAGTATTCGTTATCTCAAAGATTTATCGGTTCACATATAACTACTTATTACTAGATAAAACTAGATATCAAAAAGGGTTCTGTGGATATTATAGAGATTTCACTGGCTGAGATCATGAGTCAGCTGAAGCTAGGCCACCATGGAAAACCTAGAAGCACTGCACGCCGTTTCGACCTACTGTGTGACTCCTCAGCAGTGCGCATCCACGATACCGCCCCCCTAGCGAGATTCGAACCCAGAACCTATCAGTCTCGCGCGCGAACGCTTAACCACTAGACCACTGACCCGACCGGCATCCATTGGTGTTAATATCTAACTTCAACTTATCCACAAAATTGAGCGACACATCCACTATTGTCTTCAATGAGTTACTATCTCACAACAGACCCAGTTGAACTCCACTGGTCACTGCTTCTCATTAGAACTCCAGGATAATCCTTTAGAAGCCAGTCACTAGTGAGTATATGTTGATTAGTATCAGAAGGGGTTTTGTGGATAATATAGTAATTTCATTGGTTGAGATTATGGGTCATAAAACTAGATATCTTAACTTTTGAGATCATTAATTTGACAGTTTAAATTTAACCTTTTATAATCAAATTATAATGTTCTCTCTAAATTGTACGAAACTGTTAATGAATCAATTTAATTAATAACTAGTGATTTGTAACATGAAATAATTGCTTTAAATGTACGTGTTATTCTTAAGTTATCTATAACATAAAAAATTGATTGTACTATTTGGGGTATTTACAAATACCAAAAAAAATGTCATTCAGTTTTTAAAGTTAAACAACAAATTAATCTGGAACTATAATTTCAAAAATGAATTATCTTCTGAAATTCCATTCACCCTGATTAGTTTGATTTAAAAGATAATTGAATTATAGTGACACAATAATATATCATTTTAATAAACCGTGATGGTGCAGTTGGTCAATTATCATATATAAAGTGTATGACCTACCCCTTACTAAACTGGTCAATATTCTATGTATTTTAAAAAGTATTCCAATCTAGCTATCCATTCTTTTTTTTAGCATACAAATATTATGATTTTCATATCGAAAAATTTACAGAAATAAGTAATCCTTATATATTCTGATCTCTTGATAAATTTAGATAAAGAAAAAATGGCAATATTTTGAGTCTTTGTTATTTTTGGATGAGTTTAGTGAACCCTATTCGATAAATGATGTTATAATAAGCACATTTTTGTAGTTCTCTCTTTTTTTTAGAAATGTGCTATTATTGAGATGTAAAATTATAAAGTGTGTAACACAAGCTATCAAATTTACAACGACACTTTACTTTTCATGCCAATTGATTGCAGAGTGGTTTACCTATACTATAATTCTGGTCAGATTTCATAAATCTAGTTACAATGTGACCAACCACTAGTTTGAGTGACCCAACATCATGTGGATCATGTTTAGATATTAGCTGATGGTTTGAACACAGGTTTCATCCGAGTTGACACTTGACAGCGAAAGGTATTTGCGATCTTGAAGAAATGATAAACCTCATGCAATTTGAGTTCACCCATTGTCATAATCAGAGACATCACTACCTAGCTGTTCCGGTTGCAAATGACCTTCCATTGGACAGGATTATATACAATGACTAGTAAATGAGTATTAACCAGTGCGGTGTTTGTCTAATGTTTTATGCTTATCGAATTATATGGATCACGGTAGAAACGTAGGTCCAAGTTTTCCATCCAGTCGCTTTGAACTAATAAATTAAACCCTACTATGATGGGGTGATCTATCTTCTGAAATCAAACGAACGATTCTGACATTATAAACTTATAGTTGATTCTGATTAAAAATAAGTTTTTCCAGCGATATATATATATTCTGAAATAACTAATCTATGGAGTCGATTCCAATATTTTCTTTGTTTTAAACTCATAAATCAAATAATAACTACTAGGATTTAATGTTTGTACTCAACATCTGAAAAGCCGAACTGTTAACAGTGTAATAATCTTCTTCGTTCTTCATTTGCTTCTTAATGTCTTCTAATCAAAACAAGGAGATGAGATAATTATAAATATGTAGGCACTTGTGTTTAAGACTAATGTAAAGATTGGATAAGCGTAATAGTGATTGCACTTCAGTGATGAATAAGCAGTAAAATCTCAGTCGTGTCCGAAACTGCTTAGTTGTAACGGGTTAGCTTGTGAAAGTAAGTGAAACATGATTGAATGTCACAGAAAATGACACTTTTCTCAATATCGCAGATGATGAAGAGTTTTAACTAACATAAAACTGAGCTCAATTAAAGTTTTTATTGATAGTTTTCAACTACTTAACAGCAATATGTGATTAAAGATTTTTTTCTACAAGTTTAAGTCCTATAATTTTTTTAATGATCCTTTACCATCTGGACACAAAGATGATATCCAAGTGACGAATGCATAATAATAAAGATATAGATTTCCAACATAACACAATGGTTCTACAGCTAAAGTAAATGCTATTGACAGTTTTAAATTCTATAACCTAAATGGTTTGAATTGCAGAGCTATCGTTGTCATTATGAACAGTATTATTAGCTCTTCCTAAATATTACACAAGGGTTAAGTTAGTCACTTCTAGTGACTCTTTTTCTGACTATATGACTTTTCAGGTTTTGTAACATGTTTCTGTTGACTGTTTTGTCCAGCTGATTTATAACCATGTAAGTGGTTGACTATTTTTTGAATGGCCTTCTGTATGGCTTATCTGCATTTGGCTACTTGAAGAAACACATCAGATTATACACTGATTTATAAATTTAAACAGTAATTTGAAAAGTGAATAAACGGCTAAACATTAAAGTAAAATATGAAATCCACACATCCTGTTAAACGTTTCACGTTTCAGTTTGTTCTTTTTTCGAAAACAATGAACACATCAGTAAGGAATTATGTCATGTGTGTTTTTATTAAAATACGATTAATTAAATAATCGTGCGGACATGATTTTTTTTGTAAAGTGTTTTTTAAATAATCAGACGACCTGGCCCTTCTATCTCGTACACATAAACAAATGCAGGTGAAGACTGTCATTGTAGCACCAACCTCTATAGCAGTAGGCCTCAACATACATAAGGGATAAAACAAGATGATGAAGTACAACACAGATAACACCAACCCAGTCACACTTGATGGAGAAGCTCTGGAAGAGGTGGAAAAATTCACATATCTGGTCAGCATCAACGATGTACGTGAAGGATCTGATGCAGACGTAAAGGCGAGGATTAGCAAAGCAAGGACAGAATTCCTACGGTTGAAAAACATATGGAAATAGAAAAAACTATCAACCAATGTTAAAGTCAGAAACTTCAATACTAGCGTCAAGATAGTTCTATTGTACAGAGCTGAAACGTGATGAACTACTACAACTATCATCAATAAAGTACAGGTATTTGTAAACAATTGTCTACGTTACATACTCATTGTCCTTTGACGGGATACCATCAGCAACAAGCAAATGTGAAAGAGAACAAACCAGGTTCTAGCTGAAGAGTGAAATAAGAAAAGATTTTGGAAGTTGATAGGACAGACATTGAGGAAATTAACTCACTATATCATGAGGCAAGTGCTAACTTGGAATCGTGAAGAGAAGTGGAAGAGAGGAAAATTAAAGAACACACTGTGCCAAAAATTGGATGCTAACAACAAAAGGATGACTAGCAAATGGAAACAGCTGAAAAGGATTGTCCAGGGCAGAGTTGGATGAAGAATCCCGGTTGGCGACCTATACTCCTCCACGAGAGTTAACAGGCGTAAGTAAGTACGTAAATAAGTAAGTTAAGGAAAATTCCATTAGCAATTGTTTAAAATGAATTTGGTAATCTTAAATTTATGGTCATATTCTGAAGTTCAGTGTATTCGGCATATGATTTTTATATAGAAAAGCATTTGAATGAACCATCTTTGTAGCACATGTTGAATTACCTCACTTTATTTTTGATCTGTAGTTACGATGTCGCAGATTAAAATATACACAAGGCAAGTTGTTTTCATAGGTATTTTCAAATTATTATCTTAAAAATCCCTTTTTTCCAAATGTTTTCACATTTTTATTAGTTTAACTACTAAATTTATCTAAGTGTCTGGCCCACCCAATTGAGATACACGTGAAATCGATATTCACAAAACAACGAGTTGTCTAAACAAACGATGTTTTATTGAATAATGTACATAAATTAGTTACAAACCTCAATTTTTGAGGTATCTGTGGCGCTTACCGGATCTGTAAGTCTGAAAAAAGTCTCCTTGCATTAATAACATAAAGAATAATTATAACATACGATAGTGCAAATAACAGCTGTTAGTTGTGTTTAAACTTGATAACAGTTTAGCAACAAGCAAAAACTGAACCGAGAGCAAACAATATGGAAACTTCACAAGTTGAAATCATGAGTCAGTTGAAGCTAGACCACCATTGAAAACCTGGAAGCACTGGACGGCCGTTTCGTCCTGGTATGGGACCGTGGTGCGGGATCGTGGATGTGCGCTACTGAGGAGTCCCACACCAAGACGAAACGGCCGTCCAGCGCTTCCAGGTTTTCAATTGTGGTCTAGCTTCAACTGACTCATGATTTCAACTTGTGAAATTTCTTAAACTCTCCACAAAAACAATTCTGAATATGGAAACTGTTGTGTCTAAACAATGATTGCAAAAATTGCAAATAACTGCTACAAGGATTGAGAGAAAGTAGTTTTAATGATAAACACAATAAATGTTATAAGCATATGTAAATATTTTAGAATATTACACGATAAACTTGCGTTACAACATACGCGTAGATTTTGGGAAAACAACTGTTTACTCAACATTAATAAGTAGTATAAAACAATACACAAAAGAGTCGATGGGAATTGAACAAGGATAGAGAACGTAAAACAAACTTAACATTAACTTGAATGAACATTAATCAATTGATTGAATATTAATCATTTTGTTCGGTGATTACATACGTGCTTCAGTAATGTGTAGGTAGTTTTAAGAAGAAATAGCCATCTCATAAGTTAGCTACAGCAATAAATTGTTGACAACCTAGATTATTATCTTATACTGTATGGATATTTGTAAATGATAATTCCTGGTCTTGAAAAATATTCATAATCTGGAGATTGATTTTTATAATAAAACGAATTCATCTGGAATGGTAGTTTATGCAAGTGAACATTGGGTAGTGTTTTCTTCTTAGTTGACATGATTAATTCATGTTGAATAAATTTTTCAAATAACAAACATCTAAAATTAAAATTTAAATGTTCAAAAAAATAAAAGTTTTTTCGATTTCACTTTGTATTTTTTTTATATATTTCAGTCGGTCACGTAAAAACGCCTAATAAAGCATTATTTTGGCCACAGATACAATATAAATATGCATTATCTCAACCAATAGATTTTATTTCACCGAATTCGTCATTGGAAAATTTCATTCCACAACAAATATTTGGATCATTTTACACTAAGTATAATGCCACAAAAATAAATAGTTATGCTGTATCAAGTAATAGTTTAAGATATATTATTGATAAGAAAAATCACACTATCAATTATACTACACCAATTATATGGTCTCCATTAGGTTGTTTACCTAGCCTGTCATCAGCTATAATTATTCCTTATCGTAAAAGAGAACAACATTTACGAGTGTTAACAGATCATTTACATGGATTTTTACGACATCAAAGAATACCATATACCATTTTTATTATTGAACAGGTAAGTGGTAAAGACTCAGATACTATATTTTATAGGATCTATCTTTTGAGTTTTGTTTAGAACATGAAAGGCGTGCATATTATTTATGTTATCATTGTCAAAGTATTTCAAAGTCTAAACAAGTACTTTTGATGAAAAGATTTCAAATAAAGCGAATTCTATATGAAAACTAACCCATGGACAAGCTTATGACTTAGGATTATTTGTTTCGAACTTCTAAATGCTACACATGTCCTTACAAATTGCAGTGTCGGCTGCTATGTTAAGCCCACATAGCTTATTCTAGCTTCTGGACAGGCTAATTTATTCATTCTTCTTGAGTCTACTTTGACCTCGTTAATTACTCGCTTAATAACTCTAACTGTTTTTACATGTGCTCTGTCGTCAAGTCCTCATATTTTATATCGATTTAGAGAAATAAATGACCAATTATAACGAACTCAAAACTAGTTATTTGATTGGACGAAACAGAATGAAAATTATTGGAAGATGGGGATGAAAATTTTTTTCAAAAGGGACGAAAAAAAATTGCACTCGAAAAAAAAATACAAAAATGGCCGTGCACTAAATGTTTTCCCAATAGCTGTGGGATAGACAGTCATCTGCTTACTTTCCAAATGTTCTATGAACTGAGCTAATAAGATGAATTTCTGATCAAATCTTACTTTCTGTTATTATCTGATTACAGTCACCAATATACTTCTGGGAATAGATGTCATCCCTACTTTATTTTCAAATGTATATATCACCCTACCAACAGAATTATGTCCGTTAAATCAATGAATTATTAATTTATATTATATGACATCAACATGTCATACGTTTCATACAAAAAGATTCCTTGATAAATTGAAACTTTAGTGGCCCGTGGATCTGACTTCTATTTAGATCGTATAAATGTTTGCTATCGCCTTTTCTCGTACATCATCGTCGACTTAAATCACGTTAGTCAATAACGGAATTTAGATAAGTCAATTAACGAGAATGGCCTTTGAATACATATATTTTGTATGTAAAGTGAATGTAATAGAACAGAGCAAAATGACGCACAGGGAAGATGGCTGGGATGCCAACTCCCTTTTAGTCGAGAGTTACTCCATATTTATAGTCAGACAAAATAAAGCTACAGACATGTGATTAATGGGATAAGAAGGGCACACACATATACGCTCATATAAAAACAATCAAGACTGACAAGCGAATAATTGACAAGGTCAAAATATGACTCAAGTAGAATGAATAAAATGGGATATCCACAAGCTAGAATAAGGTATATGGGCTTGGCATAATAACTGACACTACAAAACAGACCAAAGGAAACAAGGTTTGCAGAATAAAATGAATTCATTCCATTTCACGGTTTCTCGTCAGATGCATACAACTTAAAATTACACTTATTAATATGATTATTAACAAATGTTTAATATCACAAGTTGAGGAGTCCCATACTAGGACGAAACGGCCGTCCAGTGCTTCCAGGTTTTCAATGGTGGTCTAGCTTCAACTGACTCATGATTTCAACTTGTGAAATTTCTAAAATCTCCACAAAACCCATTCTGATAAAATGTTTAATATACTTGAGTTTGTGAAGTTTAGATAAATGTTCGAAACGTAACCGAAATCATAATAACAAGAAGCATATGTATACAAAGTGTATGAATAGACATAGTAGTTAATACCGATGTGTATTTGTATGTTGGAAAGTAATTATTGAGAGGTTATGTTAAGGTTATGAAGTTAGTGAGTGGTTAGATAATCACTCAATGTGCGAACATTAAAAAGGTTATCTAAGATATGGATATCAGAAGACGAAATGAAAACGAAGATAAAAGGTTGGAGACCGTGTTGAAAATTTAATTAAAAGTTAAATTAATAAAAATTATTAAATGAACTCCCAATCATCATGGCAGGGAGAGGCTAAACATATTTTCCTTTTGTGTACATAGATCAGGTCGGAAACATTTGTTAGGGATTGCCTGCTTCAAACACTTTAAGATTGATGTTTTTTGTCTGTTGATTGTTTTTAATGTATTACTTACATTTACCTCATGTCCATTATCCAAAAGGTGTCTGACAATTGCACTTTTAAATACTTTACTCCCTTTCAGCTGTAAGTTCCTAGGAATATTGTTAGAAAAGTTTGTAGAGATCCTTGTCTTTCCATCCTACATACTTGCTACTTCAGGTACATACAAATTCATAGATGCATTTAAAGTTGACGTCGGGAAGGTATTGATCTACCTTTGAATGGTATAACGAACACTTGTTTTTGAATCGTTAAACCCATTGAGCAGTAGAGAAGCTTTTTTTCAGTTCCACTTTGACTCTTTTATCGATTCCTCCTGAAATCTTATATCCTTTGAATGGAAGCCGAATGAAGATAGGTTTCTTTGCAACAGTTGATTGTTTATCATCCTTGGTATGTTCATTTCCGTATTTCGTAATAAATTTCTTCAGCTACCCGTTTTTATGAAATGCTTTTTCAGAATAACCCATTCCTCATTTATTTTGCCGTTTGGGCATAACATTCTAGCTCTGTTGAAGAGCGTTTAGACTTAGCATCAGTAACTGATATGACAACACCTGTCAAAGTTCAAATACTGTCCTGTCCATGTTTCTTTCCTATATATACTTTCCTCAATAGATCCATCGTTTTTCCGTCTTACACTAGGATTTGAAAAATTAGACTGATTATCACTTTTATATTCCATTGTAAACGTTATGTGTCAGATGAAAGTTGTTGAAGTGACCTAGTAACCGAGATACTTGGTCCATATAGTCACAGATAATGAACGCATTATCAATATATCTATTATTATTATTACTTCCCAACATACAGATACACATCGGTATTAACTACTATGTCTATTCATACACTTTGTATACATATGCTTCTTGTTATTATGATTTCGGTTACGTTTCGAACATTTATCTAAACTTCACAAACTCAAGTATATTAAACATTTGTTAATAATCATATTAATAAGTGTAATTTTAAGTTGTATGCATCTGACGAGAAACCGTGAAATGGAATGAATTCATTTTATTCTGCAAACCTTATTGTTCTTGCTCACTTTAATTGTCACATGTTTGTTTATCATCTCAACTGGGTTATCATTATGTTTAATTTAAAAACTGTAACTATTATAGTGTCTAGTATCGTGACAAGCCCACATGGGTTATTCTAGCTCCCGGACAGACCACGTTATTCATTTTCCTTGAGTCACATTTGAACTTGTCAATCATTCGTATCTTACGGCTCCAATCAACTATATTGCTTATGACATGACCGACTCCATAAAATTATTGCTTTTTACTCTTGGAAATTCCTCTCGAAACGATCGGATAGCAGATTCACTCATGAGAATTGTTTAATAGCTATAAGCTTGGAATGAAAATGTGTTTAATGTTCTGTGATTTATATTGGTTCTCCAACTGATGTCATTGTCAACTGAAAATCATTTTCATGTAATAGAAATTTTCACCAGCAATCGATCTAAATGCATAGTACTACAACTTGGTGATTAATAAATGAACAGTATTTCAATGCTTGCTTAGTTGAGTAGAATGTTTTGTTAGTTTGCAAACGTAAATTATATAATGTCTGTTTCTTGTAGTTGATAATCTTTAAAACAACTTCTGTTGACAGTAGATAGTCACAAAAAAATGTAATCAAGATTCTCAATTAGGAAACTTATGTGTAATTGACTATCATATTGTTCATTTCTAAACATATTTCAATTCAGAACTAAATAAAATATGACTATTCATTTAACCGATGCGTTGTATGATCTAAATAAGGACCGTAATCTGACTGAAAGATTTACTGTCAATAATTAACATACTATAGTAAAAAGGATAAATGTTAATCGTTAAATTCTTAGATCTGATTTAACATTGGTAAAGGTAAGCTAATAACCATTTGAATTGAAAGTTCTTCTTGTTGGGATATACACAAGTAGTTGAATAATTCTCGTTGAAAGCTTTTCAGTATCTTATCCAAGGAATTACTCCGTAGACGTTTTAAGCTATCTGTTGGAGTCACACACAATTCAGTAACAAATTGACTCAAAAATAAATTGTAAATCTTTTTTACTACAGTGACATAACGAAAACAGAATGTAGAATAAGGTAAAGGAATTAATAATCCTCCTATTAACAAAAATCAGGAAAATGATAAAAATTTATGTTTCCTGAGTTGATATTGAAGTTTGACTGCCAAAAGTATGTAAGGTGAAATTAAAATTTGATTGAGCACAATTATTTCATTCTAGTATTTAATTGAGTACGGCAAGTGTTCTGATTAAGGTCAACCATAATCAAGCTCCAATGTGATTAGTGGAATATGATATTTTTCTGGTTATTACAGTAAATCAAAACCTTAATTTTCATCAAATTTTACACGGAAAGTTAGTTGGTGATAGTTATGTCTTATTAATAATTTTAGTCTGTTTTTGTTATATCCGAGCAGAGATTAAATCACATAATAAAAGCCGGACATAAAGTCACAATAAAGTGGCGACGGGGATTTTGGCAAAAAAATAATGCAACAGTTGGTGACTCAGATTTTGGAAAGAATTAAGCTGTAATAATTGCCGGTGATTTTTGGAGTTAATATTATTATTAGCAGTAAAAATGGCAATTTCTATAGAACAGTTGCATTTAATATTACGTCAGCAATAGCAACGGCACCAGCAGATGTTAGATTTTTAACAACAATTATTTGAAACAATTTCGGGCAGACTTTTCACTCAACCAGAAAATAAGAAATCCATTTATAATTCAGACAATGGTGCAGTAATGGACATTTCAGAAGCATATCCTGTAGAGGGTTCAAATCCCTTTATACTTCAAGCAAAATGTAATATTGATAAATTGTCCGGCTTACAATCAGACAATATTGTGACAAATGCTCATGAAGTTGTGACAATACCAGATGATCAAGAACCAGATCCTATAGATGAAGCCCAGAGTCCAGAATTAAATGAAGTACTACTGGCCTTGTCTAGCTCTGAAAATAAACTTCAGCTAGAACAAAATTATGGTCCGTGTGATATTAGTCTAGAAAACTATGGGGACTCATATTCAGAAAATAACTGGAGCAATTGTTACTCAAAATCATTGGGAGACAGAAATTTATATTGAACCAAATTATCCGATTTCTAATGACAATGTACCAGATATGTGTTCTCATAAAAATTCACATAATTTTGATGAATTTTCCTGTAAAAATGAGGATAATATTTCGGCTGAGTCAAATGATGGTCAAAAATCTAATTTAATTTTATTAGATGTTAATTTTCCTAATGACCCA